AGTCAACCCTGAGCCGGTGAGATTTGAACCGATGAACTGCTGATCTAGCAGTAGCCTGCAGTGCTGCATTTAACCACTGCGCCACCTCGGCTCATAGACGGTACCTTGACCTGTTGGAAGGTCCTACGAACAGACGGTACCTTGACCTGTTGGAAGTGGGATTGCTTACATTTAAAGCTCAGGACATATTGCTGAGAGCCAGCTTCAAATTGGACATTTCCAGTTGGATCTGCTTGGTAAAGGTTCTCCAGATCTTCTGAAGTTACAGTGGCAGGCTGGATTTGATTGTTCTATGGAAATGAAATGTTATATACGTCATTTATTGTTAGAAAGTAAGGAACAGCTGTTCCTCCTCTTCCTCATCAGCCACCTCCAGACCTGGGGACCGTTGACTTTTCCTCTCAGGGCTGATGGACAGCCCAGGCTCCGCCTCCACCTCTCTCTCTCTCTGCCAGCTCCATTCCCTCTTTACCAGTGGTGGGTTCCGGATCCCAGGGCCACCGATACAGTGCAACGGGGCCGTCCGCCCACCACATACACGCGCGCAGCACGTGTGCATGCGTACTTGCCGCCCGCGATGCTCCAGCTGCTTGGCAGAGCATTGCGCAGGCGCCGTACACTCTGTGCGCGTAAGCCCCGGTTTGCTCAAATACAGGTTAGAAGGGTGGGTGGGCCCTCCGGAGCACCATACCAGAATGGTACCTGGTGCTCCCAGCAGGCACCAGTAAGGCTGTACTGGGGCGTATTGGTCGTATTCCACTACTGCTCATATTTCCTTGATGCTGGCCCTGACTCCCACGCCACCTCCTCATCTGATTCGGCTGCTGGAGGGGCCAGGGATTGACAGGCCACAACAGTAACATTATCCTAGTTTGGGTAATGAAACATCTGCATAGGAGGACGAGCCAACATCACGACGATATGGACGTGCAGTCTCAATGCTCCGAGACTGCAGCCGATACTTTTGCCGCTGGGTGGTCCAATTGGACCTAAACCATCCCGCAGAGACAGTGAACAGGAAGAATACGTCTTGCTGATCTCAGGGACATCGCAAAGTCCCTGATCAATCCAAGAGAAGTTCTTCAAACCAGCGACAAAAAGTCCAGCCATCAGGCTGATGAAGTCGGGGTGGCTCCGCAACACGGAAAAAGAAACGATACGGAAAAAGAAAGTGTTTCCAGCTGGTGAGGAATTTTTATTGTTTTAAGAGAGACTGCCTATAAAAACTTAAAGTTAATTTAAATTTGAGAACAGAAGAAATAAGCGGTGGTATTAAGCTTTGAATGGTTTTGGACAGTGGGTAATCTTACTTTTTAAATATTATTTTCATGGATGGAACTTATGCAAGCCTTTTAAAATGAATGGATTAAGTTTTCTTCTTTTTTCATTATTATTTTTTGCAACNGGGAGGGAGCTGGAACCAGTTCTAAACAGCACTGTAGATTTGTGGAACCTCTTTTATAGAAGAGGTTAGCTGGCAGGAATCCACCCCTGATTTGGCTGCATTAAATAATATTCTAATGCTCTCTTCATCAGCACTTCCGCTGTATCAATCAAGACCAGCTCAGGAACAGTGAACATGCGTATATAATCCAATGTCATAAGTATGGAGTAGCTTAAATTATCTAACATTAAACTATGATCTTCTCTGCTATCCCCAAAATAGAGAATGCTAGAGTTTTTCCTATAAATATATTTTGCTGAAGATAATGCCTTTACCTAAGGAATATCACAATAAATTTATAAAATTGGATAGTCAATTAATAATGCTTGGAACAGGAACAATTTCAGAATCCTACGCAGAAAAAAATTATTTAACCTTTAAGCAGATGCTGTTTCCTAAACTTTTATTTCTTTGTTTTCAAGGGCAAAATCTGTAACTGGTATAAAGATTTGGGAGATTTCACTGAAGTTAGAAACGGAATAAATAAGCCAATAAGCTGTCTCCTATTAAACACCTTTATTAGAGATTCTTCACATAACGTAAATTACATTAACAGGTATGTGTCACTTTCTTTCTCATGGGGATGCTGACTTTTAGACATATTCTGTGAAATCTTATATCAGAACCATGTTTGTTTGAAGTATGATAAAGTATGTTTAAGTATGATAAAGTGCCTTGGAGAAGACAGCGTGAATAGTAATTCAGTATTGTAATGGAGAGATAAAATACATTCTAGATAAAAGTTGTTACCTAAAACCTCATAGAATCTTACTTAAATTTTAAGAATTAAAAATATTATAAGTTCTGGAGAAAATGAAATAGGTAATGGGGATGGTACAGGAACAATAAAGGGCCCGGCAAACTGCATTTCTAAGAGTACAATGTTTTTATTAATATTAGTATTTATATACCACTTATTGAAACAAATGTAGGTGACCTACAGTTCAAAACAACTGTAAAATCATGCCATTACTGGTTGGTATAAGCAGGATCTTCTGTGATTGGACAAGAAGATCTCCAAAGTCCTTTCCAGCTCTATTCTGTTTGTTTATTTGTTTGTTTGTTTGATTGATAGTCCTTGGTTGACAATGGCAATTAAGAATGGATCCATTGCTAAGTGATGTGGTCATAAAGTGTGATGACACATGACCATGTCAATTTATAATTGCAGTTCTGGTAGTTTCTATTGCAGTTGCTAAGCCCCTAGTGCATGCACCCCGCCCCCTGCATATGCTTGGCAGAGACTTGAAAACCAGCTGGCCAGAGGGAGGTGCGTGTGTATGTGCAGTGGAGCTGGGCTGTGGCAAGGGCTGTCGTGCCCGCAGAGGTGCCATCACGGGTATAGATCATCCAAACTGACAGATGATCTCATGGAGAAATCTCCCATGGAGTTTTCATATAGATCTTAAACAGAATGGAATACACAGTCAAGCCCCAGGATATCAGCTCAAGGGCTTGATATTTTTCTCCCAATGCCATCTGGAACCACCCACTCAGGAAGCAGCAGCATTGCAGAAGAACAGTGTTTTCCATCCTCAACCTTCACAGATACCTAAAAAGAATGCCATGGTTGATGATACTAAATGCTTCTAACAGATGTATCAAAAAGAGAAGAGGTTCAGTTCACAAGAATGATCAATGCAGTCTTTGATCACCTAGCCCAAAAACAGAACAAAAAGACCCAAACACCTCTCCATCAGCAATCAGCACCCAGATCAGCGTAGATTAACTCCAAGGTTAACATCAGACCAACAATCAAGTAAACAATACCTCAATCAAGAAATATTCCTGTTAGGTATAATTACNTTTTATTTATTGATTCCAAGATAAGCGGACCCCGTACATGTTGTGTTTTACTGTTTAATTTACTTTTGTTCACATTTCTTTTTGTATTTGTCCTACACTCCCTTTCCCCTTTTATTGTAAGCCGCCCTGAGTCCCCTCAGGGAAAAGGGCGGCCTATAAATGTGCAATAAATACTCAAAAAAAAAAATACTCAAAAGATGCAGCCTCCCCTTTTGAGCCTCCCAGCCATGGCAAACAGAAGTGCATAAAATCAGCCTGGTAAGAATAAATGAATGCTAAAATATTTATTGCATGCACATTACATTTATTTCTTAAGTGTGAGAGGACTTTCACAGTGAGACCCATATCTGCTAAATTGCTTAGCTGCAAATGATGTCATTTACATCAGTTACATAATTACACTAAGGATTTGTATTGAAGTAAATGATGTAAATTCAAATTTAACAGACATCCCTTCATGTAAATAGTTTTTTTTAAAGTGAGTTTATGTGAATTTGCTTTTAAAATCAAAAGACTATTCTTTGCACACAGCACAGTAATTAATTCTTGAATTTTGTTGCCCTTGAGTTGAGTTTCCAGTGGAAAGAGCCCTCTGAGAGCTACTTTGTTTTTGAATAATTGAATAAGATTTTGTGATGTCTCTGTTCCTCATTTGCCAAAGTGATGTGGCTAAGACAATTCAGCAGTTTGATATTTCTCTCTTGTCAAATACAGGAAGGACCCATTGTTATCTAATAAACCAATAGATACAAGGCTGAACTGTCTTTTACGTTTCTTCAGCTTTTGTTCCAAAGATTGCTACTACTGCCTTTTCCTCTGTGATTTGTGATCAGAAATGATCTTTTTCAGGCCTTCATCAAGTTTTCTGTAGTCTCTTTACAAATACACTCACACATGCACAAATCCACACCCTTTCCATCTGTTGCACAGTTGGTGCCATCTAATAGCAAAGGGCCTTGGAACAGCTATATATGCATACAAGGTAACAAAAAACTGTCATGCTCAAAAGTGGAAATGTTCAAGATGATATCCACAATGGATGAATGATTGGTGAAAATGATGAAACCTGCGGAGATGGCTAAATTAACTTCTTTGATTAGAGAAAAGACAATATCTACATTTGTGCCTGACTGGAAAACAGTTATAGACATATTTCATGAAGCAGAAAAAAATACACTTATGACTTGGGGTTTTGATGATTAGGAAAAAATGGATAATAGAAAAAAATGAGCTCTTTATAATCATGAGTAACTTCATAACTGTACTTATATTTGCTACAAAGGAAATCAGAAAACTTATTTTTATCCTTTCAGTATTTTTCTTTATTTCTTTTGTTATCCTTTCAGTATCATTTCTGCCTCTCTTTCTTCTCAGTTAGTTCATGTTAGGTTTTTGTACTTCCTTTAAAATGTTTAATAAACTTTATATAGAAATAAAAGTATTTTTTTAAAGTATAAGTTAAATAATTTCATTGTATGATCAAAGGCTTATTGATTTCCCTTCCTCCTTGTAACTTTGGTGTCTGTCCTCCCCATTTTCTGAAGGTTTTTTTTTAGAGCTGCATGAGAGTAGCTGAAAATTATATGCCTTCCTGTCTCATTTGTAAAGGAATGAGTCTGCCCTGTGCCAGTTTATCACAACCTGAAAGCAAACTTGTTCTCTTTACAAGTAATACTATGAGCTATTTATTTTACAGTGCTCCTTTGCTAAATATTTCATAGACATATCATGAAGCTTATAATATGATTTTGAAGAATGAATCAGGACTAAACTTTTCAAGTTGGGCATTCTATTCCAAAAAGTAGTTGGATTCAAGTGCTTAAGAAGTCCTGTTGTTGTGGTTTGTAGTGTATTTTTGGACTAAATTCTGCATGCAGATTATGTCAGGATACAGGAATATTCTCATGTCTATATAATCCTAGACACAAAATAACATTTGATCTATAGAAAATATGAGCTGGAAGCCTTCTGTTTCCATTTACTGTAGAATTTTATTGCAGCAGTAGAAATATAGTAAATGTTTAGATTATTGTATCATAT